GATCAACTGTCATCAATTATGACACATCATGTAAATATTCATTCTTTTTTACTTTAATACTGCAGTACCCTTTTTCAACAGCAAATGTCAGCGCTGTTCATCAGTTTACATATAATTTTGCCGTCATACAATAATTACACTTTATTATTATTATTAGTAGGGCTGTAAAATCGATTAAACGCTTCCAAAATAAAAGTATGTATGTACACACACACACATATATATATATATATATATATATATATATATATATATATATATATATGAAACGCATACTTTTATATTGGAAGCAATTAATCAATTTTACAGTCCTAACACACAGTTTACGCCATTGACTAGTGAACTGGATGGGCTCTGTCAACTACTATACAGTGTGATACGCAACGATAATAATGACAATAATTTTTAAAAATGCAAAAAATTTCAAACAAATGCCACAAAAAGCACCATTACTCAGCTGGTTAAGACAGTTCTGCCTTATAGTAAGGAAATCAGGCAGTCATTATCACAAAACAAACCCTGCTAGGGTGATCAGGATCCTGAAGCAGAGGGGTCTCGTATCACACCTTATTAAATAAATAAATATGTTGGCATCAAATGCTGATTCAATATTTTTATTTAACTTGTAGATTATCTTGCATTAACATTCAGCCTAGCTAAATGACAATACATCCATATAGCAACAATATCACATTTGAAGGGCTAAATATTTCCTTCGTGTCTCTTTTGGGACTAGCATGTATTTTAGTCAGAGAATATTTATATTGAAAATATAAGATTCCGTAGTTGGAGTTAGTGCTTTGAGACATTACATGGCACCAACTAGCTTGAGTTGACATGAAAAACAAGAGTCCACAAAGTGACGAAACATGAAAGCAGCACCCATATGTTACCATGGGCAACAGTGAAATATCCAGCTTAGCTGCTCTGTGCCACAACTGACCAATAACTGACCACACCAGTGATGCTGCTCATTATGGTTTTTGCTCGATGTTGATCTACACACGCACATATTAATTCAAGGCTGTAAGCATTACGGTTGTTATGCTGACTGCTGCATTTTCATGAACTGTATTTCGACATGTACGTAACTGACCAGCTTACAATGTGATTAAAGTGCAAACAGATTATGCGACACAATTGGCTGGTCATGTTGGGTTTCTCTGTGCAATTTCTTCAATAGCTCAGCTTTTCTTTCACCATGCCCTTTATCAGTACAGTATAACTAAGATGTCCGACAACATAGAGAAGACTCCATGGAATGGACCTAAAAATGTCCAGTGTCTTTTATCTCTCTTCAACGCATCCACTGTTTACCCTTAATGATAAACAAATTAGAATGATCACATTCAATAAACAATATATATTAAATCATCAGTCTGAAATGTTAAAATAAAAACATGCACACTTATTTGCATTCTGTTTGCAACTGCTCAAACTTCTTCATAGTTTAGTACTGCCTTGTATTTGTATCAACAGAAAAAAAAGCAAAAAACAAATTAATTATGTATTTTTCTGGATTTTGGAAATAGAATTTTAAATAGAAATGTATTATGCAATACATCCTGATTAACCAGTACTTTTTTTGGCCTTAACAAAAACAGATTCTTTCCAATGCGTGATCCAATAAAACAACCACAACTTCACCTTATCTGCAAATAACTGCTTCTTTTTGTATATATTGTGTGTGTGTGTGTGTGTGTGTGTGTTCTGGTCATAACTGGAGGGGTTAAATTTAATTCTAACTCTAAAATATATGATAATGTATAAAACAAACCATGTAAGGTTTGTAACAAACTTCTATGTAAGAAAAAAAAAACACAAAAAGGAACAAGACATTGTTCGCTGCTCGGCCCCTAGCATCTCTACAATATAATCACCGCTCCATGTGCTATATATATATATATATAAACAGCTTATTTTGTTGTGTACACAAAAAATATTGTTTTATGCAGATCAACTTCACTCAGAGTATAATACATTTACTAGAGTTGCGTATATTTTTACTAAAAGTTATATAAAGTTAAATATCCATGTTAAATTAGAGAATATTAATGCTAATATAATGCATTCCTTAAAATTAAGCCCAAGCAGCACTTTGGGAGAAGAAAAAAAAAGCTGTTCACGAGGTCTATCTAAACAGGATTGTGTGAGAGTATGAATAAAAGAAAAAAGCTTAACTATCAAAAACAGTCAGAGAGAATCAGAATGAGAAACTTGTGTCTCTCGTATCATATCATGACTCAAACTGAGAAAAAGTTGCACAAAAACACCTATTGAAAATTCAGTGTACAACAACTCTACTTCAATAAATAACTAGGCTAAATAAAAATGAGCACACACATAGACATCAGTGTTCAATGTGCAACTTCAAAGTGAACTTCTCCAGCTCCCTTTTGATAAGATGAGGGCACAAATTTTATTGCATAAAATTATACAGAGTAGGATGCATTTAAAAAAAATGCATTAATGGGGTAAATATTTAATGGATTGATGATAGAATTATTTGTTGTTTTATGCATTATGAAAGCTCTCATCACTTCAACGTCAAATGCAAAAAAAGTAAAATTTAAATATATTTGTCTCAATAAGCACTAACTGCCGCAATTCAAACTAGGATAAGATGGAGTTCATACATAGCAAATTCCATTTACTTTCTTTCTAACAAGGAACAAGACATTGTTCGCTGCTCGGCCCCTAGCATCTCTACAATATAATCACCGCTCCATGTGCTATGTTAAATGTGACTGGGCTTTGTTATGATTATCAACTGATTTAAAGATCCAAGCCACATAAACATCTCAAACAGCCTGGCTACCTCATATAGTGGTCCATCTTAAAAGCGCCATAATCCTGCCATCAGTTCTAAACACAGCTCAGGCTGTGACGAACATTGGGCTGAAAATGCAATGAATCACAGGTGGCTTGAAGAGAGGACTGGAGCCGTTTCTCACTGTGTGCAAGTGAAAAAGTCATAAGGCCATACGTGAGACACAGCACTGACTGGAACAACATGCAAAAAAAAATACTTGCACACACATTAAGACTCTGTCATGGGAGAAAAACTACATAGCGCCAGTAACATAAAATAATAAATAAATGTACAATATTATGACACAGCAACGAGTTTATCAGCAGAACAAATTAGGCTAAACCTGTTTACTTCAGATTGCCCATGACGTTTTTTCACAACTGATAATGACTGATAATAACACACTTTCAAGGTCTGTACAAGGAGAATGTGAAAAAAGTATATATGCAGATAAAAACTGATATTTGATATTTTGTTTCCAGGTGTCCTTACAGATCCCATGTGAGGGAGAACTGATGCTACTGCTCAGTAAGAACAGGTGCTTGCAGGTCAAAATAACGTCTGAAACTGGTCATACTGAAACCTCAATTCATGAGCGTGACTGGAACAGTGCACTCATTCAAAGCACACTCAAATCACTTGAAGCACAAAGTGAATGGCCTTATGTGCAAGCAAGTAGAGAAGGAACTAAACTCTTTATGATTAGTGTGAAAACATGCATAGCTAATTCCAAATTTAGTTGAATTATATTTTTGTAATTTACTGAAATGCTGCATTTATGCATGTGCAGAAACAAGTCAGGATGACTACATGAAAACCCAGCACTATGAGACAGTATATTTACTTTGCCACACAGGTTTGATGACCTTGAATTTAGTGTTTAAACATGACCCTTTACCCTTGGCTGGGGCTGACTTTTTGGGCAATGTGGGCTTGACGTAAAAAAAAAAATCAAACAACTGCAAGCACCATATCCTACTCAATGAACTAACAAAGTTACTTAAAGATAACAAACTGCATGTGTCTAAAAAGTTAAATAAACAGTCTGCTGATTTTCCATTATCTCACACACACAACATAAACCAAAAACTTTTGTTAAAACTTTTCACTTAACACTAGAACGCAAAAGAAGAGCCAATCAAAGGAAAACATTTAAAATATACTTATATACTCTACTTACGGCTCAGACACTGGGACAAGCGCTGCCCCACTTTTCAAGTGTTTGAATCAATGATTAATAGTGTAAGTTTTGTTTCACTTTATTATGAGAAGTGCTGTAAACTGGATAACGTGTTGTGGGTGAAAAGTAAATGTTTTCCTGTAGTACTTAGAAAAGGCAATAAGGAAATATTACTATGATTCTACTAAACAAACAGACATTTCATTAAATGTGTTTTTGTAACTTGTAAAAAAGGATCAAAAATATTTTACAGGACACATCTTCATCTATAAAATAAAACTGTATCAGACTACTGGACCAACAAAGGAGATATAACCCAAAACTTCACACAGGCCTAAAAGCAATTTCGATCCATTTGAAACATCCCGAATATGCTCTGTGTTCACTCTAAAATACCAAACAAAGTTCAACTGAAATGTTTAGCAAATAAAGGAAAGTTCTAAATACTACATTTGGGAACTAGGCAACAGGTGACTGGCCCAACATTAAGACCTGGCCCAACAACAGTGTATAATACTATCACATTTACTATATAAACTGTGGATGATTGCTGTATAAGGAATGTGATGTTGTGGTGTAGTGTGGGGTATCAGCAGTGTGTTTAGGATGGCAATGTACACTCTAAAAAAATAAAGGGTGTTTTCGCAGAAATGCCATAGAAGAACCGTTTTTTGGTTCTCCAAAGAACCTTTCAGTGAAGCGCTCTTAAAAAAAACATTTTTCTTAATGTGAAGAAAATTTTAAACCTTTTTCCCACTATAAATAACTTTTTGTTGAATAGAAAAGTTCCATGGATATTAACAGTTCTTGATGGAACTACATATGCAAATAAAGAACCTTTATTTTTATATGTGTATGTGGCCTTTTGGAGTGTCAGAAGTGTGCGTGTGTGTATCAGGAGACAGGAGTATGATGATTTATTTGTGATGGGTTTTATAGTGCATTTGAGGAATGTGATGGCATATATCAACCGGTAACTGAGTTGACCGACTGCTGAACAGCCCCTACCTGTTCTCTGGATATACAGGGCAGAGAAGGTCTGCGGGGCATCTTACAACTTCCATAATAACTGCTGGACGTCTCTCCCAAAGAAACACAGCTGGACCTTCTCCTGGGTCTGATGACGGGAACTTTCTCCTCCGCGTTAGGAATCCTGCCGGCCGTCTCCCTCGGTGGGTAATAGTGATCGAAACAGAGCGCCAGCAGAGAGCCGGAGACCCCCGCCGTACACGCCAGCACCGGCCTGAGGAACGGAGACAGGCAGCCGAGGCTGGTGAAGGACAGCAGCCACACCAGGCTGGCGAAGACCAGGATCAGGACGCTGTGCTTGAGTTTGAGAGTGGGGATGAGAGTGAGCAGACCCACGCAGCCCAGCACAAACAGCAACCTGCCCATCATTTGCATCTGATGGTGCTCCTCTCCCCACTGCAACAAGCGCAAGACCATCAAATCCCCCAAGTAGCATGATGCTGGTAAGGACAAAAGCCAACATCTGCTGCTTTCCCTCTTCGTCCGCCTCAGGTAGAGGGTGAGGAAGAAATACGCGCAGCCGATGCTGAATAAAGGACTGATGGACTGGGAGAAATCAAAGAGGAAAGTCCGCAGCTCCGAGACGCCGTGTTCACTCTGAAAGCTCCTAGAAATGAAGCAGGAGAGCACCAGGACTGCCAGCGCTCCCACGTAGAGAGCCGAGCCGCGGAATAGTTTGGACTTGAGGATATCCTCATTGCAAAACCTACAGACGTTGAATAAAAAGCCCCTCGGATGGTCTTGTTTTAACGGAGTGACGCAGCTCTTCACATAGCCGTTCCTGAAGCTCTCCGCGTTGTTTGCATTGCCAACAACACCATCGTGCTGTCTGATTTTACTGTGCAAAACCTCTCCTTCCTCCCGCACAGCCATGTTGTCCTCCTTCGGTGCTCTTTAAACTTTCATTGCTCCGAGATAAATCCTCCGCGTGTCAACGTTTCACTACATGACGGCAAACGCGCTCCATGGTCACTCAAACGTGCTCAGGCATTTTGGCCAGGAGGAAAAGAGGCTGAAATGTTGTTGTTTTTTAGCAGACTCGAGCTCTATGTCGCCGTCTAGGTGCGACAATTTGTAACAATGACTAGAGCGCGAGAGACAGAGACGCAGCCAAACCGCGCCGCCTTCAATTTATGTCTGTATCTTTAATTTCTAGTCATTTTTTCCTAGCCTTAATGTGGTGCTTGAACAATACTAAAGAATGTTGAAGTATAGGCTATCTATATGTGGAAAATATATAACAATGCATATGTGTATCCTATGTGTGAGTGAGTGAGTGTATATAATTAGAAACTTTGGAGTGGTGTGTATCTATAGGCTACATACGTTGTCTTTATTGTTTGTTTATATCTACGATTGTAGCATATGATTGAGCTAAGTCACTAATCAGTCACGTAAATAGGCTAGTGTTGACTGTCTATCTTCTACGTTTTCGGCAACAATGAGACAATAGGCCCTTATGGTTTCAATGCATAAGCGCCACAAGAGGTCACTAACATTGACATTATGCTACAGCTGAGTTGTCAACTGTTTCTTACCAATGATGGGGATCCTGAGTCTTAGCAGGGCGAGGAACCCCCTAATATTATTGTGTTTTATTTATAACACTGTAGCCTATAATATCTCATCATTATTACATTATGCTAATTTTCTCAGTGAACTTTGCATTCTTTACAATGTCCTCTATAAAAGCAAAAATCAACCAAAGATGATATCACCAAATACCAACCAAATTTGTGTCTGTGACTGTTAACGTTAGCTAATGCACTGTGAACATGAAGAATTGTATTTTTTATTAAGTAACATTAAAGGATTAACATGTTAGCTAATGCCTTAACTGATGTGTTAGCCAAGTAGTGTTTAAAAATAGGCTATATGAAGAGTTATTTTGCAAAAACAGATAGCTCATTTAACAGTTTTCAAAAATCATGTTTTTTCATTGTGCATTCCAATTAATCTCAATCAAACTGCAGTTGGGTTATTTTGATTAAGTAAAAATAAAATACAGCTGACTAAAACAATAAAAACATGATAACATAATAAAAAACATTTATATATTTTTGCAAATAAACTCTTCATATATTTTTAGAGAAATCTCTCTTATTGCAAATCGATCTGTCCACAGACCCCTGCAGTACCTTTAAGAAAATTTTGTTAGTGTATTATATCATATTCTTTTTGAGCATTATTTTAATTCAAGGTTACAACTTGAAGACTTTTGTAACATTCAGTGATAATACTGACGCTTTTATTTGATTAACTAACTGATTTAGAGATTATAAGACAGGTAATATAAAGTAGAAAATAAGATTGGCCCATGATCCTTTTGTCTTTGCTCAGTCAACACCTTTTCCCTTTCCTAAAACAAATGTTATAAAGAGGGAAAGTCCCTCCGATGCCAATGCTTTAGGTAAAAAGAACCTGTATTCTGAACAAAGTTGTGGTGTTTCCTTTGAAGCGTGAACACAAAGAATGTTTTTTTAATGGTCTTAAGATGACTCACATTTGTAAAAAGATCCAGATATCGAAGTTTATGAAAATGTAATATATTTATTCCATATTGAGAACAATTTATGCACTTGGCTGGAAAATTGGTTTGAAATTGTGGTTCTTGTATTATGGTTCATTTATGATCTCAAATGCTGGAGACTAATGCTGGCTCCATAATGCATTGAAATGGACCTCATTTATACTTCTGTGCTGCAATCCCCATAGCTATCTTAAGAGCTTTTCCATGATTCCAACTGCACAAGTAAAGTGGTTGAGTAGACAAGTCAATAAAACCACCAGTCATTCTCATGTGAGGATCATGTACACTAATGTATCTTCCAAGCTTTTATGGAACTGGTAATGTCTATAGAAATATAGACATATATCCTGTTCGGCAGGGGGCCATGATATTATATGCATAAACAAATGTATATGTGCTACACTTTAAAAAAGTCAAAAAATACTGTGTTAATTTGAGGGTATGAAGGTCTTTATTGATTTTTACAGGTTTTTTCCCCTGTATTTTGAATTACATATTATACTGTATTGTGTTTTGTTACAGGACATGTCTATAAACTGAATGGGAAAAAAAGCCCTGGCAGAAAATTACCAGTACTTTTTCCATTTTTCCACAGATTTTATTCTTACAGTGTACCTTAATAAAATATAAGTTATATATAAGTTATATTTATAACATATATAACATATAACAGAGGTATATGGGCATTAGAACAATACAAGAAATTCTTCTTTAAATCTCTTTAAATTTGATTAAATTCAAAATGTATATTAATTTTCTCAAAAATTTTGCATTGTAAATATGAATATAATATATAACATTCAATAGTCCAATATTATTCCAATTGTAAAAATATTTCTATTTTCCATTCCATTCCATTTTCGTTTCAATTTTAGTTAAAGGTATAGTCATTTTAAATATGTCTATAGTTTTTAGCAGTTATTTTAGTACATCAAGATAAGGTAAAAAACTAGCTGAAATGAAATATATTTAGGTTTTTATATTTTATTTTTATTTATTTTTATGGTTTTAGTTTTAGTTAACTATAAAAACGTCTTTTCACACCAATAAATATACAAAGAGCGTGTGTTATTTTCCCTTATCTTGACTAAAACAGGGGAATTTCTTCTTCTTCTTCTTCTTTTGGTGTTTTAAGGCGGATGGCAAACAAACCACAGGGAAATTTAAGTGTAATATTCCAGTATACACAAGCACAACACAATCACAAACACATACACAACTCCAGTCTACTTTGCAACAAACTTTCGCGTTTGCGTAACGCGCCGTGCGGTTTGATCCTTCTGGCTCGCTGTAGTATTGATGTGGCCAAGTCAGTCAGGCTCCACGTCATTCGGAAGGATCAGAATCTCTCCAGACACGGATGCGCACACAGAAGAAGAGAGAGACCTTAGACCTGTTTGAAAGGTAATAAATTGGCAGCTTTACTAAAGAGCACATAAATAAAAGACAAATTTGTTGTTATTTTGAGCTGCTTCGAGCACGGAAGCGCTGGTCGTCTGTGTTTGGTTTGGTCGCAAACTGTTAGCGTGCTAGCTGCTACTGTAGCAGTGATATCGAATGATCACGCAATCAAAAATATAACTGTATAACCTTAAGTCCGTTATCAAGATGTATTATCAAACAGCAGTGGGGATATTAATACGCTATTTATTTATAATAACTGCACAACATGGTGCAAATTGGTCTTCTGCCACGGCTGGTAAACTAGCTGCTAATTCAATGAATACTGTGCGGCCGCAGACCTTGAGACTTCTGACGGGATATTGATATAAAAATTCTTGTTAACAGAGGAGACCCTGAAATCACCTAAAATTCATGTAGTTATACATATACCGTGGAAGTTCTTTGAAGTGCTTTGGAATGGCACGTAAATACAAGGTGCGTGGATATGGTAATCATTTAAAGGTGCGACCTGTGTTTTTGATAATAACAAACAGTTTTACTAATGAAAACAAACAATTTATATTAATTTATATAGTGCTTTGAGCTAGTGGTCTGGTCACTTTATGCATATGCATGAACATAAAACTACCAAACAATATACCTCATACCGATAGCGTTGTCATATATTTGACTATTCATTTGAACTTTTAGTGATGTGTTGTAACCTGTGTTTCAGGAAAACTCATTCTCTCTGAGTGGAGTCTCCTGAAGAGAAAAAAGAGCTGACATCATGACAGCCGCGGAGAATGTGTGTTACACACTCATCAATGTCACCAATGACTCTGAACCACCATCAGAAGTCAGCTTGAAAACTGATTTAGGTAATATTCATGTGGGGTAGTTTATTAAATAAAATTACATTTATTAAATGTACATTTATATTAACGTGCAATGCATGCCATTTTAAAAGTTTGGGTTTGGTAAGATTTTTCAAAAGTTTTTGAAAGAAGTCCCTTATGTTCACTAGGGTTGCATATATTTGATCAAAATGCAGTAAAATAATTATTATAATCAAATATTATTACAATTTAATTTTCTACATATATTTAAAATGTCATTTATTCTTGTGATGGCAAAGCTGAATTGTCATGAGCCCCATTGCTCCAGTCTTCAGAGTCACATGAGCTTCAGAAATCATTCTAATATGCTGATTTGGTGCTCAAAAACATTTATTATTTTTTAGCACACTTGAAAACACTTGTGCTGCTGTTTAGTGAAAACTCTCTTTTTTCAGGATTTTTATTTTTTTTGTATGAAAGTTCAAAAGAACAGCATTTATTTGAAATAGAAATCTTTTATAACACTGTACAAGTCTTTGCTGTCACTTTTGATCAATTTAATGTGTCTTTACTGAATAAAAGTTCTAATTTCGTTTTAAAACAATTTTACTGACCCCAAATGTTCGAAAGGTAGTAAACGTGTGTAACAGTTTTCCTCTTTTATTTTTGTCAAAACAGAAAAGGGGGAAATCAAAGCCAAGACAGAGGCTTTGAAAAAGGTCATCATCATGATCCTGAATGGAGAGAAACTTCCAGGCCTATTAATGACCATTATTCGGTTTGTGCTGCCTCTTCAGGACCACACAATTAAGAAACTATTACTAGTTTTTTGGGAAATTGTTCCCAAAACTACTCCTGATGGCAAACTTCTTCAGGAGATGATCTTGGTCTGTGATGCCTACAGGAAGGTAGGCATGAAATATGCAACTTAATGTTTATTGTTTATTGTAAAGAGGTATATTGTGTGTATTTCTTTGTTCAAATATGCCATCTGTGTTATGCATCATAGGATCTCCAGCATCCCAATGAGTTCATCCGTGGCTCCACCCTGCGCTTCCTGTGCAAGCTGAAGGAATCTGAGCTGCTGGAGCCCCTCATGCCAGCGATCCGTGCCTGTCTGGAGCATCGTCACAGCTATGTACGCCGCAATGCAGTCCTGGCCATCTACACTATCTACAGGTGTGTTGATGGACATTTGTGTGACGGAGCGAGAAACAAACATCAAAGACATTTCTTTTTCTTTTTTTTTAAGGAACTTTGAGCACCTGATCCCAGACGCTCCTGAGTTGATTCATGATTTTCTTGTAAATGAGAAAGACGCAAGCTGCAAGAGAAATGCTTTTATGATGCTGATTCATGCAGATCAGGTACATAGTCTTATTATAGTTTTACAAGTTATATTTTTAGTACAAGAATGTGAATCTCATGAAACTACGTCCCTATTCTTCTAATAATTATTGCAGGAAAGAGCTCTGGACTACCTTAGCACCTGTATTGATCAGGTGCATACTTTCGGAGACATTCTACAGCTTGTTATCGTGGAACTGATTTATAAGGCGAGTTGTTTATTCACAATACTATTCACAGTACTATCTATCTTCTATCTTCACAAGTCATTCTTGTTTAACCCTCAGAGACCCAGCATAGTAGAACTGCAACTTCAGTATAAACCAATTAAATAATACTTAACTCTGACTAAATATGGGTAAAAACAATGCATAACAGTAGCTGACACTCTGAAATTGATCTCAACAACAGTTTTTTTGGGAAAATATTTGCCCATTAACTGCCACAGCTTGTAGTCTCACAAAATGACACCAGCTAGCTGACACAATTCTTAGTAGGTTTGGAACATCTAATTACAAAGCAAGTATTTGACATCAGGTTTTTATTTATTTTACTTCTATATGTCTAGTGATGGGAAAGGCTTTGACAAGGCTTATGCCCAGAGTATACAATCAAATAAATCATA